ACACTTCACTCTCGCAATCATACGTTTCGTTCAAAGGAAGAATAGAGAAAGAATATTTCAGAAACAGGAAAAATTAAGTGCGTTAGTCGCAAGAAAAAGTGAGATAGAGAAAACAAAGTTAATTAGTAATTGATTGCAAATGTACACAGCAAGAATCAGAAACGATTCTTTTGCAATTTTTTTCTGTGATGGAAAGTGACGAAGCAAAAGTCTTTCTGGTTCGTAATGTTATCTATTTGTTTATTGTACACATTACATCAATGGTTCTTAACCAACGTTCCCTACTGTTGGAAAAATTGGATGGAACTCTATTAAACTCCATCAATTTGAAGGATTTGTTATTCTTGGAGATAAAAAAGATAAAAAAGATATTTGCTCTTTTTCTTTGTTATTGTGTATTAAACTGTTATATTGAATTTTACAACTCAAGAAGTTGGCTTTTTTCCAAAAGTCATTATACTTTTTTCCATTAAATTTCTAAAAGCATTGTTACAGAATTTCTTGGAATACTTGGTGTATTAAAGTGAGCTATTTAGCTGACATTTAAAATTACGATTAAAAAAATGAATGTTTATCGCCAGAAGAACAATTGATTCTCTGTAATAAATTTTGAGTTATAGTTTTCACGAATATAATTCTTCTCAAATTAATATAATTCCTTTCAGATTAATTTTATATAATTTGTAATTTGTAACACTTTTGCTGGAAGATATGTTCGTGCTTATTTTTATTATTTTATAAACTTAGTAATCTTTATATGCTAAGTAAGTTTTCTTCAAAATAAAAAATACGACGTCAAACAGGTTAAGAACTACTGCATAACATGAATGAAACGATGATAACAAAACGTGAGTAATACGCAAACTCGTAAGATGCCACTAGCAGTACGTGAAGCACGTGTACCGGTGCTCGCAAATATACGTATGTGCTATAGTAATGCAGCTTGTATACGACAAAACTGCAAACAGCTACTCAAATAAATCAAACTAGAAAGTACAAACTACGAACAACGCCGAAAACAGATTTTAGTACCCATCACCGACAGAGAACACTGGCAATATGAGGCAGGAAAATCTATTCGAACAGCACCGATTGAACAATCGTTCGAAGTAACTGCGTTCTGACCTCGTTTCTTCTATGGGAATGGTATTCCACGTCGCGTAACACAGTTCGTCCTTACACGACGCGTCTCGTTGTACACTAACTTTCGAACTGTATCGGCACACAGGGAACAATCGCACGCCGGTCGAAAACGGAAAAAGAAAGAAAGAAAAAAAAAGAAAAAAAAGAAAAAAAAACATGTGTACACTAACCTCATAGTTGCTTTAAGAAAGGAAAACAGAAAGCAAAGAAAGAAATGAAGCGAAACGCCAAGCGGGTTTATTTGAATGGTTTACCAGCAGGTCCGTACGTCCGACTTGTCTGACAGCTCAAAGTCTTCTGACTGGTAAGGTGACCTTGTCTCCGCTTTTTATACCCTCCCATAAGCTTCAGCCGTCGCGCTCAGCCGGTGCTGACGAAATCGGCAACGTATCGTCGAAACGATAAATTCGTGCCTGGTTGCCTCCCGACGAAATTTTCACGTTCACCCCGCCGTTCGTCACGTGCCGATGGCTCGCGAGTCGCGTGGACGTTATTTCAAACGGAGCAGGGTAGGTGAACTTGGCCAGCGACGCACGCCGAAGCACGTAGATCGCGGCGTGATTTTTTCGAAAACGAAAAGGTGAGGTTGCGCACGCGTCGCATGACGCAACGTGCGTTCCCTCTTCTGCAAGCAACGGTGTTTATCGATCGCATGTGCCGCTGCTTTCTTCTCGATCCCCACTGCGATACCTTTAGTAAAAATCAGCCTGCAGGATGTCTATCGTTTTGGGGAGAGGAGGGGAGGGGAGGGGGGGAGGGGCCAAAAATAAATCCGATTGGGGTTCGTCGAATGCTACTCAACTGGATATTTTATTTGGACCGAATGGCTGTGTTAAATTTACTCCAACTGCTTTCGTCGAGTTTCGTGCGTTTCTGAAGCCGGAAGTTGACCGACCGTTTAACTGACACCGGATTGCGTTTAGTTCAGTTGAACTTCAAAATTTAGCTTAGTGTTGCATGACTCATCCATTAGAAATTCCAATTGAATCTTATTATCCGTGGCTCGAAAAATTGATAGCGCAAATAATGATGTCATTCACGAGATTCGTAGTCTCATTCGTAGTTTAACCGCGGTGGGAATTTACATGCCAGTCGAACGAAAGATTGGCCAACCTCTGCGTTGGATAACCTTTGCAACAGAGGGGGAAAAAAAAGAATCAAACTTTGTCCGATACTTATCTGGGATCAGACCGGAGCAGACATCGGTTCTTTCTTTTATCGAGTAATCTTGTCGGTAGATACAGTATCGACGCGTGCATTGCGCGCGCGTGTCCGCTGACTTCCTAGAACTTCCACATTGCCGCGGTGTTCCGTTTAGCTGAATCATATTCAGGAATACCGCGGTTTATGCAGTTTCAGGATGACGCAACGGATCCTCACATGTTCGTAACTTTACGCTCTACGTGATCTCAAGCACCTTCTCAACTACTTCGTTCTTCTTCTCTCTTTTGCTTTCGAATGATCTTTCGGTTTCTATCGCGTGATTCTGTAATTTAGATAGATGGTTGGCGTGCCAATGAGCAGCGCGAAAGGTGGCACGTTCCTCGTCTTCACGTAACCTTACGTTACATTCGTCTTTTGCTAGTTAATTGTTTATTGATCAGCCCGAGTTGTGAAAGTTTTTGTATTCCATTTCTTACTCGTCTATCTTGTAATAATAAAATAGTACCGGAATCAATCTGGTATATACTGGCTCGTCACAAATATCGAGACACTATAGAAAACTTTTATGCGTTGTATAAAAACGTTTTAAAAATTCTATTAGTGATGTTATGAGAAAACTAAGCCTTTGTTTAAAAAAAAAAAAAAAAAA